TCGGTTGGAGTCAGCACGTGGATCGCCTCAAGGTGGATCCTCATGTTGCCCTTCTGCCCGTCCTTGGCCTCGGGGACGAACCAGTACGGCGGGGCGAAGCCCTGCTTGCCATCCTTGGGGAGCGTGATGCACGGCTGGAGCGAATACGCAACCTTCGGGTTCGTCGTGATGGTGCCGAGGTCCCAAGCTTTGGTGTCACTGTCCTCCGAGGCTGGCCTCGACTTGATGTTCATTGTCATTGGTACCAACATCAACTTCCCCACAGGAATGGCTGCCGTCACGGTAACCCCGTTGGGCCCCGACCAAATGGCAATGCTGTCCATGAAGCCAGAGTCGTGTGCTGCTTTGGATAGGCTCATGAGGAAATCGACCAGCTGCCCAACCACATGCTTCGACACAAACTCAGGGTGCACATCTGGCTTGTTCGCTTGGTATGCAACTCGAACTTGCGGTTTGGTCTGTGTCGGTGTCCAGGTGTCTTTCAACACATGCTGTGCCATGGTAAGCGAAGGGCCTTCACCGAACCTTCCAGTCGGAGACAATACGACGTTGTCGCCAGTCATGCTGGTGATGACGTAGAGGCTACACGGTACATCAAGTGGTTTCTTGCGCTTGACAACGGCGCCCTCCTTGTACCCCTGGACCTGTAGCTGGTACATCGGGGACTTCGACTGCTCAGTCGATTGCAAGGCTACAGTCTTGACCTGCGGGGAGTCGCTTGCCGCGGCACCCCCAGCTGACCCCGAAGCAGTCGAGGGACCCGCGTCAGGCGCGGCACCAGCCGCAATGCCCTGCAAGGAGCGCAAACAAATGTTGATGCGGTGGATGCGGAGGACGAGGAGGGTGATGATGATGAGGAGGAGGAGGAGGAGAAGGAGGAGGAGGAGGAGCAGGGGGAGGATAAGGGTGAGATGGAGGAGTGGAGGAGGAGGTTGAGGGGGGAGGAGGGGGAGGCGGAAGAGCGACGGGGGTAAAGGAGGAGGAGGAGGGGGAGCATGAGGAGGAGGAGGAAGAGGAGGAGGAGGAGGAGGAGGAGGAGGAGAAGGAGGATTAGCAGGAAGATGGAGGAGCAGCGTAATAAACTAACTCTTGGATGATGATGGCGAGGATCAGGAGGAGGAAGAGGAGGATGAGGAGAAGGAGGAGGAGGAGGAGGAGGAGGAGGAGGAGGGAGGAGGAGGAGGGGGATGAGGAGGAGAAGCAGGAGACGGCGAAGGAGGAGGAGGAGGAACTTCGGCCTATAGGCGGAGAGAGGGGAGGAGGGATGAGGACCAAGGAGGAAGGACCCCCCCTGACTGCTGCCCGATGGGCGTCGATTGACACGATTTAGTCCGGAATCCCCCCTTAAAGATATCGGTGTCCTGATCTGGCTTTGCTTTCCAGGGGTTCGCATTCGTGTCAATAGAAGTAGCAGTAGACTAGCACAAGCATGGACAGTGGCAGTAGCAGTAACAAGAGTAAAGCATCAGTTCAGACGAAACGCGCATCGACCATAGCAGCGTCAGCAACAGCAGCAGTACCGAAGCAGTAGCAGTGGCAGTGGCAGAAGCAGTAACGACAACAACAACAGCAACATCAGCGCCAACATCAGCAGTACAATAAAAGCAGTAGTAGTAGCAGTACTAGTAGTAGTCGTAGCATACTGGCAACTGCAGTAGCAGAAGACGCAGTAGCATCAGTAACATAGTCTCACCATGGCTGCGACTAGTACCAATAGTTGTACGTGAGTAAGAGTGGCAGGAGGCGGTTGGGGAAGGCGTCGGAGGAGGGAGGATGAGGTTTGAAGGCTACACGTCCTGCTTGGGCGCAGCGGTCAACCAGGGGTTGTCCACCACCTTGCCGATCAGCGCCGACAACTCGGCGCAGAAAAGCTGGCCTGCGGCAGGCAAGTCCGCGTAGTCAATGGCCTCGCGCGACTGCTTGCCAACCTTCAAGGGGAGGTGGGGCAACCTCATCATCCTGATCCTCCTCCTTCCCTCCTGATCCCCATCTTCGCTCATTGTTTTACTCAGGCGACACCTTCAACAGATGGTAAGCGATCCTGGTGTCGTGCCCGCACAACAGCTTGGCCCTCTTGCCCTTCACCACGTTGTGCTCGTCGCACATTGCCCTGGCATCGTCGAGCATGCGTTCGGCCTGCTTCACCTCGTCCACTGCCCCCTTGCTGCAAAGCTTGCTGATCGCAGCCTCTTTGATGAGAGAAGCGCGGCCATCCACGATTTTATGCACTGGCGATAGCATCTGGCCCATCATGCAGGCGAGGCGAACCCTGCTGTTGTCGCAGACCTCTCCCTTCCAAGTCATAGACGCAATCTTGTCCAAGAAACTGCCTCCACAGTGTCCGTGGTTCTGGGCTGCTGTCTTGGGTACTTTCAGAAGCGACGCAACCAAGCCGCGAGCCTCACTCATCTGATCTTCCGTCGTCACCTTGCAAACTCGCTGAAGAGACATCGCCCATCCAGACCAAAATGGCTTTGTCATTATGGCCGTAGATACTGCAGCTTTCCACGAATCTTCCTCTGACCTGCCATTCGCCGTGGCATTCTTGAAAGTACTCATCATCGTAAGCATGCCTTCCATCTCAGTCGACCCGCCCTGACCAGTTGTATTGAGAGCAGCGTACGCCACGCGCACGATCTCGGGCCACCTCTCCGCAACCTTATGTGAAATCACCGTGTAGATGAGGCCGTCTTGCAAGGCTGTGCTTAACCCAGGGATTTTGCTCAACTCCGTCGCGTCCAACTTGCCAGATGGGGCGATGCTGGCGATATCACATGGAAGCTGGGCATGGGCAGCGTTGAGGAAGTACGTAGAGTGCGACCCACCAAATGTCGCTGCGTATATCACCTCGTATCGCGGCAACCCATACACATCACAGAGCGAGTTATTGAACGACAACGTCTCTGTTGTAGTTGCAGAGCCAGGCGGGCAAGACACTGCGTAACAGCCAGAGCACGCCCTTTGATACGAATACCCGTCGGATATGTTCTTGGCTGCCGTGGTCATGGCTTCATTCATCAACACTCCGAGCCCGCCCCTGTTATCCTTGTGGCACCCGACGTACTTGCTTTGCATCTGCATCGCCCACTTGAGTTCCGTAGACCTGCCGAGCGTGCACATCAGGCCATCGAAACAACTGACGTGCTGCCCATCAATACGGTATGCCTGCAACAAACGCTCAATCTCTGGAGCTACTGCCTCAATGGCAGCATCCACGGGAGAAGTCATACCAGTGTCGAGCAAATATATGCAAACCTGGTTAGAGTCTCGAGCCAAAGTGGCTGCGGAGGGGAACGCATGGAGGAATTGGAGGAGGCGGGGCGGCGGGGGAGGGCGATGGCCAATGTTATTCCGCCGACGCTACGCGTCATCCCCGAGCGCAGTAGGCGGGGCGGCGGGGGATGGCGAGGGCCAATGTTCCGCCGACGCTGAGCGTCATCCCCCAGCGCATTGAATACTATTTTGTTTTTTTGTCGCGTGCCCAAGACACCTTACAGAGCTTACTAACCTACGTTGCAAATGTTACTAACCTATGTTACCAAACGTTGCAAACCATGCTCCAATCAACTTGCTAACATGTTACACCAATGATGTACATACTTGTGTGAGAGTACTGCAAGTCGCGACAACGCACAGCAACACAACGCAATGCAGTTACTAAGACCGCGCAGCATTTCACTTACAGTTGTAACACGCGTAGCATGTTGATAAGCTGATGGGCAATGCTGCGTAAGCATGCAACTATTATCAACGCATGGGATATGTTCGAAGTGCATGCTTGAATTTGCTTGCGTGTCAGTTGGTGTTAACAGTGCTTGGTTGGAGTTGACAATCACCGATATGTAACGCACAGGTTATTAACCACCCCACCCTTCCAAGCAGAGGAGGAATGAGGAGGAGGAGGAGGAGGAGGAGGAGGAGAAGATGTTGGAGCTGTGGGGTGGAGGAGGACAGACGGAGGCAAGAGAAGGATGGAGGAGGAGGAGGAGGAGGAGGAGGAACCTCATCCTCACCCTCGCCAACAAGCGCACGCACCTTCTTCTACATACAGAAACTCCCGATCAACCGCAGAGCGGCCGGCTAGTATGTATATATATATATATACACATATCCTATATACATACATATCTATCTATGTATGTATATATATATGTAGATATTCACAGACACCCTCCGACGAACTTTGCATGCACCTTCAGGGAGGGCGGCGGTGTGTCCAGGCGCTGCTGGCAATCGAAGGGCCCTGCTCGCTCAACTCCCAAAGGCAGGTCGCGGCTTCCATCCCGACGGGCCGCCCCGCGCGAGCCGGCCCCGCCCAGTGCAGCCAGGGGGCCCCAGCGCAGCCCTTCGGGCCGAGCGGTCGCGGGCGTTGGCGGCGCCCCATCGCGGCGGCGGCGCGACCCCCCAGCACACCTCTCCTCCTGCTCTCTCCTCCTCCTCCTCCTCCTCCTCCTCCTCCTCCTCCTCCTCCCTCCTCTCCTCCTCCTCTCCTCCTCCTCCTCCTCCTCCTCCTCTCCTCCTCCTCCTCCTTCTCTCTCCTCCTCCTCCCTCTCTCCTCCTCCTCCTCCACCTCTCGGGCGCGCGGCGGCACCCGCTGTGTCTTGACCACGGTTATCCTCCTCCTCCTCCTCCTCTTCTTCTCTCCTCATCCTCCTCCTCCTCCTCCTCCTCTCCTCCCTCCTCCTCCTCTCCTCCTCCTCCTCCTCCTCCTCCTCCTCCTCCTCCCCCTCTGTCTTGCCTCCTCCTCCTCCTCCTCCTCCTCCGGCCTCCTCCTCCTCCTCCATCTCCCTTTTCCTCCTTTTCCTTCTTTGCTCCCCTCTCCTCCGCCTCCTCCTCCGCCTCCTCCTCCTCCTCCTCCCCATCCCCTGCCCCCTCCCCCTCCCCATCCCCCTTCCCCTCCCTCCCTCGCCTCCGCCGCGGCGGCAAAGGGCCCCCCGCCCGCGCCGAAGGGCTCCGTCCTCCCCGCCCGCCCTCTCCGAAGGGGCCCGCCCCCCTGTGGCCTTGCTGGTGTCGCGGCGGCGGCGCTGCTGCTCCTCGTGGAACGGGGGGGGGTGCGGAGGAGGAGGAGGAGGAGGAGGAGGAGGAGGAGGAGGAGGAGGAGGATGAGGAGGAGGAGGAGGAGGAGGAGGGAGAGCGCGAGGAGGAGGAGGAGGAGGGGAAGGAGGGGAGGGGAAAAGGATGAGGTGAGGAGGGGGATGAGGGGAAGAAGAGGGGGAGGAGGACAAGCTAGGTGCGCTTGCGTCACATCTGACGTCCTGCCCCTCCCTCGCATCCCTTACCATGGCGTGGATCTCTGCACTATTCGCACAATCGGATGTCGTAGCAGGGCATCGAAGTACATGGCATAGCATGGTGTTGAAGATCAACGCGTAGCCTGACATAGCATGGCGTGGGGAGCTTCTGCGGCCCCCCAAAACCAACGAATCGGCACCGAATGTGTAATCACGTCCGGTGATTGTTTTTTCGGGGGCCATGTTCTATATGGTGGGGCCTATTTGGAAGGATCGAACACCATGCCGTGGCATGGCGCTGGAAATAATGACGCCAGCGCTGCAGCGGGAGCACGATTCGGAACGAGCGGAAGCGTGGAAGTGAGGCCAGCGCTGCAGTGGGAGCACGATTCGGAGGACGCGTAGACTGACCTAGCATGGCGTGGCGACGCCCCACAGTGGGGGAGGGCTTCTGCGAACCCGAAAATCAACGAATCGACACCGAATGTAGAATCACTTCCGAGGGTTTGCGGGCCGCCTTCGCACAGTCCCTGGATGGGAGGAGGGATTGCCAAGGGGGGGCACCCCTCACCTGTTATTGTGGCTTGCTAACTAGAGTGGGCCCTGGAGTGGCGCCCTTCACATGCCATTACCTCCACGCCTGCGGCGGTGGTCTCCGGGGGGCACTGCGAAGGGGATGGGACAGGAGATGGGTCATGCCAGCGGAGCAGGGGTGGAAGGACAAAGGGTGGAAGAGGAGGAGACGGAGGAGGAGGAAGAGGAGGAGGATGAGGAGGAGGAGAAGGAGAGAAGAGGAGGAGGAGGAAGAGGAGGAGGAGAAGAAGGATAATAATAAGAAGAAGGAGGATGAAAAGGACGAGGAGGAGGAAGATGATGAGAAGGAGGAGGAGGAGGAGAGAAGAGGAGAGAAGAGGAGAGAAGAGGAGAGAAGAGGAGTAGATGAGGAGGAGACGGAAGAGGAGAGAAGAGGAGGAGGAAGAAGAGGACGAGGGGGAGGAAGGAGGAGGAAGAGGAGGAGGAGGCAGAGGAGGAGTAGGAAGAGGAGGAGGAGGAGGGGGAGGGAGAGGAGGGAGAGGGGGAGGATCATGGAGATGGAAGGAGGGGGGGGGGGCTGAGACGAGATCCACATGTTGAGAAGGACCTGCCCTCCATCTGCGAAGGCGTTGCAAATTCAACATTCGAGATCGCAGATGGCGAGGGAGTCTCAGGCGAAACGCCTGGCCCGCCGTACCGAAACGTCTACACGTCTGTGGTAGGACAGGGACGGGTTATGTATAAGGGGAAGGGGTGGAAGACGAGACGGAGGAGGAGGACAAGGAGGAAAGACGGAAAAGGGAGGGGGAGGAGGTAGACGAGGACAAAAAGCATGATGTTACTGCTGATGCTGATGATGATGACGGGGAGCAGGAGGAGGAGGAGGAGGAGGAGGAGGAGGAGGAGGTGGAGGAGGAGGAGAAGGAGGAGGAGGAGGAGGAGGGGGAGGGGGAGGAGGAAGAGGAGGAGGAGGAGGAGGAGGAGGAGTAGAAGGGAGGAGGAGGAGGAGGAGGAGGAGGAGGATGGGTGAACGACCGCACCGAAGGAGGAGGGAGAGGAGGATGAGGGAAAGGGAGGACGAGGAGGAGCGATCGTCCCGTCCCGAAGGAGGAGGGGGCGGTCGACGAGGAGGGGGCAAGACGGAGGGAGAGTGGACAGGGAGGAAGAAGGTGGAAGAAGGAGGAGGGGGGGAAAGTGAAAGAGGATGGTAGAGCAGGGCTGGGAGGAGAGAGGATGATGTTGATGATGATGAAGAGGAGAAGAGGAGGAGGACGACGAGGAGGACGACGAGGAGGAGGAGGAGGAGTAGGAGGAGGAGCCCCCGACAAAGAGCCCTTTGTATTCTCAGAATGAGGAGGCCGAACGGTCATTCACTGTGCCTGGGTGCGTGGCTGAAATCAGAATCCGTGGTGAAGGTTCTGCTTGTTGCGTTGTTGAAGTCTCACAACTGAAGAATAATTAGTGTTGATCCCCCCTCTGGTGCACATTGTATTTTTTCAGTTGAAGAGCCCCTCCCGGCGATCGCACCCTGTTTTTTCTGGGAAAATCATCTTCCTCAAACTGTGTTGTTAGCCCCCGGTTTACAACAACAACAACAACAACAACAACAACAACGGCTCCCGCCGAATACTTCCTCGCAGTTTAGCCAGGACCCCTGTTCCCGACTCAGACCTCTTCGCATGTTAGTCAGGAGTCGCGCTCTCGCTGAGGACTTCCTTACAATGTATTCAGGAATCGTTCTCTCGGCGCTCTGGAGTCGCGCTCTCGCTGGAAACTTGCTTGCCATTTGCCATTTACTCATGAATAACGCCCTTGCGTTGGAATTCCCCGCAATTTACTCAAGCGCCGCGCTCCCGACACTCAGGCACCCAGGAGTCGCGCTCACGCTTAGGACCCCCTCACAGGCAACCTAGGAATCGGGATCTCGCTGCCCTTGCCCCGTTGCAGCCCTTCGTGGCCCCCTCGCTGCCCTTCGTGGACCCGTTGCAGCTCTTCGTGGCCCCTCGCGGCCCTCCGTGGCCCTGGTGCAGGCCTTCGTGGCCCTTGCTGCCCTTCGTGGACCCGTTGCAGCCCTTCGTGGCCCCCTCGCTGCACTTCGTGGCCCCGTTGCAACCCTTCGTGGCCCCCTCGCTGCCCTTCGTGCCCCCGTTGCAGCCCTTCGTGGCCCCCTCGCTGCCTTTCGTGGCCCCTTTGCGCCCGTTCGTGGCCCCGACGCAGCCCTTCGTGGCCCCCCTCGCTGCCCTTCGTGGCCCTGTTGCAACCCTTCGTGGCCCCCTCGCTGCCCTTCGTGGCCCCGACGCAGCCCTTCGTGGCCCCCTCGCTGCCCTTCGTGGCCACATCTATGTACGCCCTTCGTGGCCCCCGCTCGTTCGCGCCAGTCGTGGCCCCATATGCATTCCCTTCGTGGCCCCGCTGTCGCCCTTCGTGGGTTGCTACCCTCAGTGGCTCCGTCGTTGCCTTCTGTGGCCCCGCATTATCTGCCCTTCGTGGCCCCCGCTCGTTCGCGCTCTTCGTGGCCCCATACGCATTCCCTTCGTGTCCCCGCTGTCGCCCTTCGTGGCCTGCTTCGTGCCCTTCGTGGCCCTGCTGTCGTTCTCTCTCTCTCGCTCTCGCTTTCGCTCGTCGTCGTCGTCGTCGCCGTCGTCGCCGTCGTCGAAGTCGTCGTCGTCGTCGTGGTCGGTCCCCTGTCCGTCCCTCTTGGGGCCGGGTTGCCGCCGGTCAGCGCTGCCGCTGGCCAGGCCGACGGTCCGCGGCCGTCCCACCGCTTGCTGGGGCCCTGCCTGCAGGGAAGAAAAGTATGACCCTCAAAAGGGGTACAGTCGAAGACGAAGAGGGCGGGTATCAAGGGTTTGGGAAATACGCTTTAACGGACACTCGAGCAGATACGAGCGAACAGTCTTAAACTGATGATTGATGTTGTTGTTTCGGTTGTTGTGGTTGTTGTGGTTGTTGTTGTTGTTGCTGTTATTGTTGGTGTTTGTTGCCGTCGTTCCCCCCGCGACCCACCCGCGACCCACCCCGCGACCTACCCCGCGACCCACCCCACGACCCACCCCGCGACCCACCCCGCGACCCACCCGCGACCCACCCCGCGACCCACCCGCGACCCACCCGCGACCCACCCGCGACCCACCCCGCGACCCACCCGCGACCCACTCCGCGACCCATCCGCAACTCTTCCGCGACTCATGCGACCCACTTGCGACCCACCTGAGACCCACCCCGCGACCCACCCGCGACCCTCCCGCGACCGATCCACATTGGTTTGAAGAAAAAATCGGCGCCTGCTGCGGGCTCGTTGTATAATGTATGAAACTTCGGCGCCTGCGGCGGGCTTCTCCCGAGTCTCGCAGACTGCCGACGTCCCCACCGCCCCCTCACTCTTCTCCGTATCTGCGGGCTGCTACGTCAACCTTCTGGAGCCTCTAGAATCCTGCTACTCCGCCCTCCGGTGTTATTCCTTCTCCCTCCACCCTCCTCCTCCTGCTCCTTCTGCCTCCTTGATCGGGGGGGATTCGGTGTATGTGTTCTCTGTCTCGGGCTTCTGGATCGTGCTAGCTCCGCCTGCCTCCCTCCTCCCTCGGGGGTGCACACATGAAGGGTCCTGGGCCTGCCCTCCCTGCCTCCCTCTGCCGCGCCCGCGCCCCGCAGTGCGGAGGCCGCAGGCGCGGCACCTGCACCACCCTGCATACGTCATACGGCGTGAAGAAGGAGGAGGAGGATGAGGAGGAGGAGGAGGAGGAGGATCAGGAGGAGGAGGAGGAGGAGCTCCATGTTTTTTCTCCTCCCTAACTGGTGTTGCCTTTTATGTTTTTGTTGGTGGTCCCGTTCCTGGAGCCCCTGGGCTTGACGCCCCATTGTGCGCTCAAGATCTCGTTCATGTTGTGTTTAAATTTGCCCTGTCTGGGAGCTCCTGGGCTGGAGCTGCAGGTGCTTCACCCCCCATGTAGCCGTCTCACCGAATAGCCTCCGTGAACTGCCTGAGCTGGCCCGACCCGCCACCTGCTCATCCTGCTCGCCCTCCTTCCCCATCCACCCTCCCCTCCTCCCTTCCCCCCCCCATCCTCGCAGGCGCCGCCCGGGCTCGAGGGACCTCTGGGAGCAGGTACTCCAGATTTCGTAATAAAAGGGAGGGGGTCTCATTTCGGGGGGGGGTCTCTTCCAGGCTATCTTGGAGGGCCTGGGGGGGTCTGGGGACGATGTTTTGGAGGGTTCTCCCACGGGGGGGGGTCTGAAATGGCTTGTCTTGGAGGGTCCAGACCCCCTCCCTTTCATTCCGAAATCTGGAGTACCTTCTCCCCTCCCCTCCTCCCTTCCCCCCTCCTCCTCCCTTCCGCCCCTCCTCCTCCCAGGCGCCGCCCAGGCTCGAGGGGCCTCTGGGAGCAGGCACCCAGTACCCTCGAGGACCCTCCCCGCGGCGGCCCCGCGCGACAGCCGCCACCACGACTCTCCGTCCTCCCGCGCGGCCGCGATCGCCGCGATCGGGCACCCGCGTGGCACCGCCGCGCCCGCGCGAGGCGCTCCCTCTCTCTGGCGGGAGCGCCGTCGTGCGCCCCGCAGGAGCGCGGCGACCTCTCCCGCCGAACACCGCGCTCGCCGAGGAGGAGCGGTGCAGCGCTCACCGTGGCGGGCCTCTGCAAAGGGGCCCTGGGACACACCAATCAATACACACAAATTACCGTAGGCCCCATACTTTCCTATATCTTCGGGGCTTTTTGTCTTCCCCCCCACTTCCCAGACTTTCCCATATGTTCTGGGGAATCGACGATCGGTTGTGTCTGTGTTTTCCCCCTCCTGAATCTGGCTCGCGCTCGTCGGCCTCGGATCTGTGGACGGTGTCCGACGTCCGGCGCCCAGAGCGGGCGGCACGCAGTGCACCTGTCGAAGGTGCGCGCGCCGGTCTCCACTAGTGAAGGGGCCCTGGGACACACAAATAAATACACACAAATAAAACAAAGACTCCCAGTATTTTCCTATATTTTGGGGATTTTTGTCTTCCCCCCCCACTTCCCGTACTTTCCCATATTTTCTGGGAATCGACGATTCATTGTGTCTGTGTGTTCTTTCCTCTCCTGAGAGTTCCCCGTTCCCTCCCGCAAAAGCTTGGATCCCGCGATCCCGGACGATGCTGCTGCTACCGCAAGTGGCGCCAACTGCGTTGATGACTGCCTGTTCTCTACGTTTCAGCGCCAGCCGCTCTCCTGGTAGAGAAGCCGGAAGGCCTCTGCGAAGTGGTCGTCAATGCTCTCACGCCAGCTAGGCTCCGTCTCAGTGTGGGGCCAAATTAATAGCAACGACGCTCATGTTCCACGGGAAGGCGTCACTGGAAAACAATTGGGGGTGAAGAAGGTCGGACCATAGATGTCCCACTTCCGCCTGCCCCCCAATGGAGTCTCCATCTGGATGGGTTAGACGTTCAAACAGTTCGGCTGCATCGTTTCCGAACAGATGGACCTCGGGCCCGACTTTGCGCATCGAACTCAGTCGGCGGCCGGCTCCCAGAGGACCCTCAGGCAATCGCTGTGCGACCCAAGTGATGAAGCTGTCCCGCTCCGCTCCCGGCCTGCCTGGGCATTTTCTTTTGCGGCGTTGGGCGCCCTGGCGCGGACGGCCGAACGACCCCTGCAGCGGGACACCCTGCCCACACGGTCGGCGCCGCCAAAACTGCGCGCTCCACCGCGCAAAGTGCGCACCGAAAGGCTGCGCGCACGGCCGCGCGCAGCTCAGAGGTGACCAAAAAATGGCAGAAGGCTGCCTGCCTGCGACCAGGGTGCTCCCGATGATGAAGCCATGCTTGGTATGGCCAAGCGCCCCGTCCTGGACACTGTCCTCAGATGGCACCGGCATAGGTAGCTGCCCAGACTCTACAGATGTGGGCCACCCCGCCTCTTTGCAACTCTTAGGCTTGCGGCGGTGATGAAAGAGTCTTGGCGTTCGTTCGTCCCAGTCCTAGACCATATCCGTTGGCTGCGTTCTCGAGTCCCGAAGCTTCACGACTACCCCGCCGAAGTGCCCTGTCTGTTTGACGCGATTCGGATCGCAGGAACTGGCCATCGACCACATGGCACATGGCAGTCCCAGATGCATGTTGACCCTGTTGACCAGGCCAAGCAGGATATTTGTGAGCAGGAGAAAAACGTGGCAAGGACTACGGCTAGGTCTACAGAAGCTATGAGAAGCGAAACTGTTATGCCAACAATTCGGGTCCCTAGGCCCTACCACAATCCGATTCGGTCGAACATTCCCTGTGATCGGGCTTGGGCACTCATCAAGGAATCCAAGTATCAGCTCGGCCGAGGAGCCTCACTGTCACCGATGTTGCCGATACGACAGAATCCATGGAGAAGGACTGGCCCTTTAGACCTGAAAGGCTTGAGGGCTTTCCTGAACATGCTCTGCCTAGGGAGACCCAGCACACCATCCTGGTGTTCGTTCGCCTGTTTTCGGGTGCTCGCCGACATGGGGACCTCTAAGAATCTGAGGAGCGGGTGCTGGTCAGTGGGCCTTGGACCGTGGTTGCGATTTCCCTGAACACTGTTCTGGACCCGAACCTCGGCGACCTTACCAAGATCCTCATCGTGGCTGAATGGAGTTTCTCAGATCTGGTAGGGCTCTTGGTACTGCTGGAGGGCCACCTTGTGAATCCTGGTCTGCTGTGAGGAGGAACTGACTCAAGGAAACAGCTGGGGCTGGAACCCCCCAACCCCTCAGGACCTGCGAGCACCGTTGGGGGAGACCAGGTGTGTCGAAGAAGCAGCATGTGCAGTTGGAAATCAGAAATCAGCTCTTTACTAATGCACACCAGTTGTTCATGGTCTGCTTGGGGGATATAGGCTCCGAGGAGGAAGACCCGATCCGCGAGTGCGAGATGTACGCCACAGACTGCTGCCATGGAGGCGGCCGAGGCCGCACTGGGGGGGACCCCCCGAACCCCTCCCATTCCCCACCCCACTCTCTCCGCCAACGCCTCAGCTTCTGGAGGAATTCCCTCCGTTTATGAATTCAGCAGAGGAGAGAGGCGGCCCGAGAGAGAAAGTGGCAATGACATCGTGCTGCACTCGGACTCCGGCCCACACTCGGTTCTGTTTTCGACAGAGGGCCCACTACCGAGCGGAACCCGTCCTGTCATCTTCCAACACCCTATCCAGCTTGCTTCGCAAACCACCAGCAGCTTGACGTCTCATATAATACCGATGCCGATGCTGATGCCTCATCCTCGCTCCTCCCTGCTCCCCCACTTTTCTCTCCAGCTCATCCGGGAAAGGGGATGAAGGCGGCTCCTCGTCGCAGAACGCGCTCACCAGGTCGAGCACGCACCACATCGCGCCCGCAGAGGCCACCATGAGCACGGCCACCACGGCCTGGAACCTGAGGCTGGGACCAAATAGAGACGAGGATCAAGGTTCCAAGATCGAGGGTCCTAGCGGAGGGGTTCAGATGGAGGAGCGCGACGAATACCGAGACAAAAGGGGGAGGAGGAGGAGGAGGAGGAGGAGGAGGAGGAGGAAGAGGAGGAGGAGGAGGAGGAGGAGGAGGAGGAAGGCAAGCCAGAGCACGGCGCCCACGAATCGCCCACGGGCAACCGCCTGGCGAGTCTTTTGCCTAGAGATTCAAAACCCCTGCAGGACGTTCCGTTGATATATCATGGTCAGTGGGCTTCGCCGATGACATGGGGAAGAAGGTATAATGCCGTCAAGCATACGCTAGGATAACACTGAAGGGAGGAGGCTGGCCCGCCGGCCGACGCACGCGCGCGCGCCGCAGGCACGCTCCTTTTCCGCTATCCTGGAGCCATAGTGTAGCTGCAGGAGAGAAGCAGTCAGCGCAGCAGACAGTGCATGCAAGGCGACAGAGCAGGATTGGCCAGAGGATGGTGGTGCGGAAGGGGCGCATTATCTGAAACCCTGGCAGACCGACCCACACACAAAGCACCCACTAAACGCTAACTGGCGCCAGCCGGGCGAAACCCTGACAGACTCAGCCAACTACTCAGTGAGGCAGCACCCCAAAGTGTAAGCACCGCTTGGGGAAACGATCCCAAATCTTGATCCCCGAACCCTCATCCTCATCCTCCTGGCGAAGATCGCCTCTGCTCCTCCTCCTCCTCCTCCTCCTCCTCCTTCTCCTCCTCCTCCTCCTGTCCTCCTCCTCTCCTCCTCCTCCTCCTCCTCCTCCTTCCCCTCATTCTTCTTCTCCTCCTCCTCCTCCTCCACTCAATCACCCATGTCGGGACCTCTCCAGAAGTAAGGCTTGACCAGAATGGCGATGGAAATGCAGCCGTCGCAACCAGACGCCCCCAAAGGCCTAGAGAGGATGACAAAAGCACGCACTCAACAACCAAGGCAGTCCACAGCGACAACATAACACAATCGAAAGCCGACCGAACCGACAGCGACACCGAAACCGACAGGCCGCAACCAGCCTAGAAGAGCGCAACGACGCAAGAACGACACAACAGCCAGCCGAACCGAACCGAACCGAACGCATCCGACTACGACGCAGCCGGACTGACCGAACCGCGGACATCCTTGAAAACATTGAACACCAAACATTGATCCTCCCTGTCCTCGGCTACGCGTAAGGAACGACCCTGGGCGCAAGAATGACCTTAGATGCTCTACTTGCCAGCAGCTGTGCGCGATGAGGAAGTGGCGGCCTCTGCGTGAAATGCTTCGTGCTCTGAACGCGTCTCCTCCCTTCGCTTTCCTCGACGGCCGCTCTTCATCCTTCTCCATCTGTACGGGTGCACAAACAGCTCTTTCGTGACCCGGTTGTTGCTGCACAAAGGTTCGTGCTTTCGCATCGCCGCTTGCAAAAATATGTGGGTTTGGCCCCCCGCCCCCCCCAACACACACACACACAACAAAAAAAACGCACCCAAGATCACTCCAGCGAAAACACACTCGGCTTTCGGACCATAATTCAGGTCTCTGGCGGCCGTTCGGGGCGATCCGGGCTACCCTGGAACGCTCCCGGCGATGCGCAGCTACTGGAACGCTTCCCGAGGCAGGAAGATCTTCAGGAGCAGACGAAAACGCCCGAAAACGTTTTTAGCCGAATCGGCCACTGCGGCGAAGGGTCGCTCCCCCTGACATCCGCCGCTGCGATTTTTCAGCCCGCCACCCCCAACGAGGTCCCGACCGCTTCCCCAAGGGTGAGTTGGCGCCTCGGCTCCATGCTTGACGGTCCCAGGGCCCGATAACAGCCCCTGGAGGCCGAACTCGAGGATGAAGAGCCGGTGGACAAAACCACCAGTCGGCGGCGAGCCTCTCCTCCTCCTTCTCCTCCTCCTCCTCCTCCTCCTCCTCCTCCTCCTCCTCCTTCTCCTCCTCCTCCTCCTCCTCCTCCTCCTCCTCCTCGGTGGTGTGGTGGTGGACAACGGGCCCATCGCGCGAGGCGCGAGGAGCAGGACCAGTGGAGGGGGGGAAGTGAGAAGGGCCGGGCCTTCTCCGAAGGCTCGGAAGTCCCCTGGCCTTCTGAGCAGTCTTCTGAATCCTTTCTCGAAGACGCCGAGGGCCACTGAGAAGTCCCGCCGCCTCCCGAGAAGGCCTTTTCCTTCTCTGGAGGGGCCCTGGGACACACAAATAAATACACACAAATAACAGGATTCCCCCTATTTTATTGGTTTTTGTCTTCCCTCCCACTTCCCATATTTTCCCATATTTTCTGGGGAATCGACGATTAATTGTGTCTGTGTGTTTTTCCCCTCCTGATTCTCGCCCCCTAGCTCCCCGCCCTCGCTCGCTGCCGACTCGGATCGTCGGAGGCCCTGGTCTCTCGGGTCGGGCGGAAGGGGGGGCTAGCAAAGGGGGGGTTTGAGAATCAGCTCGCGTACAGTCGGGGCCTTGACCTAAGGAACACTGAATGAGGAACGGGGCCCCTTTTTCCCACAAGTTAAACTTCGATTTCCCATCGAAACCCTAAGCAAAACCAAAGGCGAACTGCAAAAAACTGAGGAACACCGAGCCCCTCCCCCACGAAAAGGGCTTCTTCCTCAGCGCCCCGACTGCAGCTGATTTTCCCGGCGCCTCCCGGCGCCGGCGGCGGTCATGCATCGAGGAACGGGCCCCTTGTTGAGGCCGAAACCAACTGCATGCCGCAGATTTCGTGCCCCCCCCTCTTTCCCACCCTGACCTTCCAGGAGGGCTAAAAAATAGCACCCGACCTCAAAGCCTATCCTAGAGCTATCATACGTCTTGGTTTCAGGCTGTTTCGCTCAGTTTTCTTTGAAGTTCTTAGGCCTCCAGTGCTAAAACATAGCTCTCTGGAAGGTCAGGGCAATCCCCCCCCTCTCGTCCGGCCCGAGAGTCTTGAGTGCAGCGGCCGCGGCGCCCAATACATCCTCCAAACCCGCCGATTCTCAGAGATTTCGAGTTATCCCGACCCGATGTTGTCCCGATCTTCGCGTCGTTTTATCGTACCCTCCCCCTTTCCCAATCCCCCCCCCTCTCGTCCGGCCCGCGTCTTGCGTGCAGCCGCTCCTCCTCCTGGCCGAGGCCGCCTCTCCAGGTGCGGCCCCGCGGCGTGCAGGGCGGCCCCGGCGCCGGGCACGGCGCCGGCGCGCAGGACCTGCAGCGCGAGCGCGAGGAGGCCCAGGGCGGACGTCAGCCACAGCACGTGGTGCGCGACCGTCGGAGGAGGGGCAAGAGACGAGGCCAGGGCGAGGAGACAGAACCAGGACGAGGAGATGAAACCAGGACGAGGGGGGGCAGGGACGAGGGGGGACGAGGGCGAGGAGAGAGAACCAGGACGAGGTGAGACCAGGACGAGGAGGGATAACACGAAACCAGGACGGGGTAAGACGAAACCAGGACGAGGAGAGAAAACCAGGTGCGGATAAACCGAGAATCTCTGGGTGATCGTTTCAACGTTTTCTGATTCGGCGTTTCGACGTTGGGCGGAAGGGGGGGAGGGGGGGTCTGGCTCTGGACCTCTGCTTGATGCGACTGTTTGCAGCGGTGCGTCCTGTGGGGGGGAGGCTCGACCTGCTCGAACCAGGCACCCAAAACAGCCAATATCTACTCTTGGGGCGGGGAAGGGGGGGGGGGGGGGGCGAAAGCCCGCGCCGATCGGCAAAAGAATGAACGAAACGGTCACTAGGATCCGGCGGCTCGGGGGGATGTCTCGGGCGCCGCGGCCTTCTCTGAGCGTTCCGGAACGCTCTGGACGGATTTATCCTCGTCCTGGCCCCGTCCGAAAGAATGCGGTGGACTCGAGGCTCAAGGGTCGAAGGGTCCGCGCCAGGCGTGTTTTGTTCCTGTTGTTTCGATTCGTGTCCGACCAGACCTGACCTCCGGATCCGCATTGTATTGGCAGATTCTCCGATGTAACATTCTATCACGAATTCATCCCCAAGAGCGCGGACAAGTAGGGCGAATTTGTGCGCATCAGAAAAGTGAGGCGGGTATTTCCGCTGATTTGTAGTTCCACAGCTTTGTGAAGAATTCAAAGACGTGGCGACGTCGTGGATTAGTCAGTGGCTTTTGTAAAAGTTCCACAAGGTGACCTTAATCAATTCATTTAGATGAGAAAGCAAAGCAACTATGGCAGCAACGGCAACGGAGAAATCTGGCATGAGTCCACATCAAGGGGGCTTGAAGAATATGGCGGCAATTCCTACCCTACTTCTGTAATGGCGCAATGTGAAGCGAACCCGGCGTTAGAATACATGGGCCCATGTCGGGCCCTGGGGCTGACAGCAGCCGGTCCGAGGTTAAACACTGGCCAAAATGGACCCCATGAGGGGGCGGTGGCCGGGTATTAAACGGACTTCGGCCTGGGTGTGGAATGTAGCAGGGAGACACGAAGTACAATTAGTGGGATCCGTACTGTGACAGAGCGCGCTATGTTTCCTTTTGCGGGGGCCATGGCGCGCCCGTCGCCTGCGCGCCGAGATGACTCATGGGCCCTCGTGAGCCGATATGGCGGCGCATAAAGGAGTTCAGAGAGAGGCGCAGGAATAGGAGAGGCTGACATGGGCCTGACATCCACAGCTCCTACCTTCTTGAAGCCGAAACGCCGCCCCGCCTCAGAACATGAAATCCCGCTCATAGAAGATACCGTAGCCATTCCGTGTAGTCCCAAAGCGTCTGCGACGTAAAGCCAGCACGGCTACATAAACACGCATGCCTTGAGAAAATATCTAGGAGAGATCCTTGAAAGGATTGTCCGTCACGGAGTCCATGAGGAAATCTCCAGACTTCGCTGCGACCGTAGCATGCCCCATCTGATCCATGAAACTCTGCGGCTCGACTCCGCGATGGTCGTGCTGTTGGCCAGTTCGCTCCAGGTAGCGATCTCCTACGCTGAGCTCCGTGGCCCAGAAGAGCCTATCTCTCGCGCTTGGGAATCAGCTTGACCTCGAGAACCGGCAGGTCGGAGTCCTCGATCTTCTCGTCTGAGTGCGCGCGGACACTCGGAAACGCCGTGGGGATGGCCTGCGCCGCGATGTACATCCTGACCGTGCGATTCCAGAGCCTAGACCATCCAAAGGC